GCGGTGGCCAGGAGCGGCCACTGCACTCCAGTCTGGGCGACAGAGTGAGACTCCGACTCAAAAAAAGAGAGATGAAGCCAGGAAAGACAGTGGGGACGAGTTTATAAAGGGCCTTAAGGTCCATGTCAAGGAGGCTTAACTTTGACCCAAGGGTACTGGGGAGCTATGAACGGCCTCTGAGCAGAGGAGTGATGGAATCAGATTTTAGAAGGATCCTACCCAGAGATGGGTGGGAGGTGCGTCTGGAGGCTGGAAGGCCAGTGAGGAGCTGGGTGGGGGCCCTGGGAGACAGAGCCTGGGCGGGTCATGGCCTGTGGGGTGGAAGGGCCCACCGCCCACAGGGACAAGGGTGCCGGCCCCTGAGGAGGTCACAGGTTTGGGCCGAGCACTGATGCCAGGTTCTAGGGGCTGAGTCCAGCAGGCCCCGAGAGGTCTGGGGGGAAGCCAGTAGGAGGCCCCCGTGGGAGAGAACAAGGGGCTTGTGGTTGGGACTGGGGAGGCACAAAGAGGCCTGGGACTGAGACCCAGGCCCGGCTCACCCACGTCATGATCCGGGCCCAGTTCCGGCTTCTTCGCGGGCGCTGTCCTGGGGAGACAGGGCGGGATCTGGCGTGAGGCCAGCGAGGTGCTGGGGAGGTGGTGGAGACAGACCCAGAGACGCCGGGAACCCGCCAGGCCCCAAGGAGCGTGAGCCAGGAGGCGCTGTCCCTCCCAGCCGCCTCTTCCACCACCCCTGGCCATGGCCCTCAGTGTCCCCAGCCGTTGCCTTTTGCCGAGGAGCCATATGGCCTGATCATCACCATTTAAAGACCGTCTGAGGCCGGGCACAGTGCCTCACGCCTATAATCCCAGCACTCTGGGAGGCCGAGGAGAGGATTGCCTGAGCCCACAGGTTCGAGACCAGCCTGGGCAACTTGGCGAGACCTCGTCTCTACAATAAATAAAATAAATTAGCCGGATGTGGTGGTGCGTGCTTGGGTTCCAGCTGCTTGGAAGGCTGAGGAGGAAGGATTGCCTGAGCCCGGCAGGTCGAGGCTGTGGTGGCCACGAGCGTGCCACTGCACTCCAGCCTGGGTGACAGAATGAGATTCCGACTAAAAAAATAAAGTAAAATAAAGACCGTCTGAGGATTCACCTCCAACCTGTCTTACAATCTCCTTAACAGTGCTCTTCGAGGTGACTCACTTGAAGACTCTATTTAAAAAGTCCACTTGGCTCAGCCTGTAATCCTGCGCTTTGGGAGGCCAAGGTGAGTGAATTACCTGAGCCCGTGGGTTCGAGACCCACCAGGCAACTTGGCGAGACCTCATCTCTACAATAAATCAAAAAACTAGCCGGGTGCCTGTAGTTCCAGCTACTTGGAAGGCTGAGGCGGAAGGAATCGCCGGAGCCCAGCAGGTCGAGGCTGCGGTGGCCGGGAGCGGCCACTGCACTCCAGTCTGGGCGACAGAGTGTGACTCCAACTAAAAAAAAAAAAAAAGTCTACTTGACACCACAATGGCAAGTCTGTTAATTCACTGAACAAACACGTACGGGCACCAACCATGTGATGGGCGTCATCGAAGGCACCGGGGACACAGATGGGCACAGGACAGACAAGGACCCCTGGCCTCCCGGAGTGTTCGCTCTGGAGGGGAGAGAGAGCCAGAGTGAAAGACCCGCCGTCAGACGTCAGGGAGGGACATTCCTTTCCATGGGAAGGGCGGGAGGTGGAGGGGTGTGTGCAGTTTCCAGTAGGACCGTCTCAGGGGCCTCCCTGGGAAGGGCACATTTGAGCAAAGGCCTGAGGCAGACGAGGGTACACCTATGCAGAAATCATGGAAACAGCCTGGGCAAAGGCCCTGAGGCAGCAGCCAGAACCCCATGGAAGGGAGAGGAGCGAGGTGTGACTGGCTGGGGCGACAGTGTGAGGGGCCTGCAGATAGTGCTGGGCCTGGTGGCCACAGCGAGGACCTTGGCCTGGACTCTGATGGGGGAGTCTGGGGTAGAACTCAGCAGAGGATGGATCTGAGCTAACTGGCTGTGTCAGGACCTCTCGATGGGGACAAGCTGGAGGGGCAGGGCTGGAGGAGCAAAAGCGACAGGAAGCTGTTACGTTGTAGTGAAGAGAAAGCTCAGGCCACCAGACACGCTTGGAAAGTGACAGGAAATAAGAGAAGCGGACACAATGGTGTAATTTTGTAGCCCAGTAATGTTGCCGATTTTCTTTGTAAGAGCCGGAGGAGGGGGAGGGCCTTAGCAAGTACTAGAGGTGCTTAAGGCTCAGTACCCTGCCTGCGATGCTCACTTCTCCACAGTCAGAATAACGTGAAGAGGCTAGAAAAAGGCGTATGGGCCGGGCTGGGTGGCTCAGCCTGTAACCCCGGCACTTTGGGAGGCTGAGGCGAGTGCATTGCCTGAGCCTGCGGGTTCGAGACCAGCCTGGGCAACGTGGCGAGACCTTGCCTCTACAATAAAAAAAAAATTAGCCGGGTGTGGTAGCTCACACCTGTAGTTCCAGCTATTTGGAAAGCTGAGGCGGAAGGATCGCTGGAGCCCAGCAGGTTGAGGCTGCGGTGGCCAGGAGCGTGCCACTGCACTCCAGCCTGGGTGACAGAGTGAGACTCCAATTAAAAAAAGAAAAGAAAACAAAAAAAGTGTATACTATTTTTGGCACCTCCTCTGTGTGTGTGTGTGGTGTGTGTGTGTATAAAACACACACACACCACACACATATATATAGACATACATGTGTATATATGGCCATGTGATTCAAAGTCTTTAAAATAGTATAACAATGAAAAAACTTATTTATTTAAAAATAATGTCAAACAGAAAAAGTTGCAAAAATACAAAGAACCTCTGAACAACTTTCTCCTTGATTCCTTAGGGTTTTTTTCCTTTTTTTTCAGACAGGGTCTCACTCTGTCACCCAAGCTGGGGTACAGTGGCACTGTCATAGAATCACTGCAGCCTCCAACTCCTGGGCTCAAGTGATCCTCCTGCCTCAGCCTCTCAAGTAGCTGAGACTACAGGTGTGCACCACCACACTCAGCTATTTTTTTTTTTTTTTAATAGAGAAGGAGTTTCACTATGTTGCCCAGATTGGTCTCAAACGCTTGACCTCAAGCAATCCTGCCTTGGCCTCCCAAAGTGCTGGGATTACAGGCATGACCCACCATGCCTGGCCTCCGTCTATTTTTGCTTTAAATTCCATTTCCTTTAGCGTTTCTCCTCTCTCTCTCTCTCCCTGCTTCCTTTTCTGCCCCTCACCCCGCCACATAATCCTTCTCCTGAACCATTTGAGGGTAAACAGCATACAGCTCTTCTTCCACCCCTATTTACATCCTTGTGAGTTCGTGTTTTTTGTTTTCGGAGTCAGAGCCTTACTCTGTGCCCAGGCTGGAGTGCAATGGCACACTCACAGTCACCGCAGCCTCGGCCTGCTGGGCTCCGACGATCCTTCCGCCTCAGCCTTCCAAGTAGCTGGAACTACAGGCGCGTGCTACCATGACTGGCTATTTTTAAAAAATTTATTGCAGAGATGCGGTCTCGCCAAGTTGCCAGGCGGGTCTCGAACCCGCGGGCTAGGCAATCCTCTCACCTCAGTCTCCCAAAGTGCTCGGATTATAGGTGTGAGCCACCGTGCCCTTAGTTGCTATGGCCCAGAATGCCTGTGGAATTGCCTCCTGTTCAGAAAGCATTTGAGTACCTGAGATTCTCTGAGGCTCTTTGGCTAAAGTGGAAAGAATGCTGGCCGGGCTCGGTGGCTCAGCCTGTAATCCCGCGTCTTGGGAGGCTGAGGCGAGTGGATTGCCTGAGCCCGCGGGTTCGAGAACCGCCTGGGCAGGCGAGACCTCTATCTCTACAATAAAATCAAAAAATCAGCCGGGCATGGTCGCGCGCACCTGTAATTCCAGCTACTGGGAAGGCTGAGGCGGAAGGATCGCCAGAGCCCAACAGGTCGAGGCTGCGGTGGCCGGGAGAGGCCACGGCACTCCAGTCTGGGCGACAGTGAGACTCCAACTCAAAAAAAGAAAATAATAATAATGCTGACTGGGAGTCAAGACACTTGGGCTCTGACCCCAGTTCTGGGGCTGACAAGCTACTCAGGCCTGAGTTCCTATCCTGGGAATCCATTGCCATTCAGAAGCCAGTCCTATGCCCCTGGACAAGTGACTTCCTCTCTCTGGTTTTCTCCAGAGACTGTGGCGAGTGTGGATCCAACCTGCCCTCAGGGACGGCTGGCCAGCCCCCACCACCCGGGCCGCGACCATGGCAGGCAGCGCTAATCCACCACAGCCTCATTTCCAAGTGTATTTATGTCTGTCTGTCTGCATTTATTTATTTTTTGAGTTGGGGTCTCACTCTTTTGCCCAGGCTGGAGTGTGGTGGTGCAAACATGGCTCACCACAGCCTCAACCTCCTAGGCTCAGGCGATCTTCCTGCCTCAGTCTCCCAAGTAGCTGGGACTATAGGCAGGCCACCATGTCCGACTGATTTTTCTTTTTCTTTTTCTTTTTTTTTGAGTTGGAGTCTCACTCTGTCGCCCAGACCGGAGTGCAGTGGCCGCTCCCGGCCACCGCAGTCTCGACGTGCTGGGCTCCGGCAATCCTTCCGCCTCAGCCTTCCAAGTAGCCAGAACTACAGGCACGCGCTACTATGCCCGGCTAATTTTTTTTTTAATCTTATTGTAGAGGTGAGGCCACACCAAGTTGCCCAGGCAAGTCTCGAGCACGCAGCCTCAGGCAATCCACTCACCTCAGCCTCCCAAAGGCGCGGGATTACAGGCTGAGCCACCGAGCCGGGCTATGATTTTTAAATTTTTGTAGATATGCAGTCTCCCTATGTGGCCTAGGTTGGTCTTGAACTCCTGGGCTCAAGCAATCCTCCTGCCCTGGCCTCCTAAGGTGCTGACCTCCCCCTGAATTTAGAGGCAGCCTCCAACTCCTTCAAAACCAAGCTTTTCAGGGCCTTGAACTCTGTCTGGCACATAGTAGGCCCTTGACAAACGTGTGTTGACGGATTTGTGGATCAGAGGCTGAGAGAGGAAAGCTCTTTGTCACCCCTAAATAGAAAGAGTCAAGGGAAAGGCAAGTGGAATGATGGACGTCAAGACACCAGGGCTTATCAGCCCAGGTGTGGTGGCTCCTGCCTGTAATCCCAGCACTTTGGGAGGCCGAGGCTGGAGCATTGCTTGAGCCCAGGAGTTCAAGACCAGCCTGGGCAACATGGCGTGAACTCGTCCCTAAAGTAAATTTAAAAAATTAGCCAGGTGTGGTGGCGCGTGCCTGTAGTCCCAGCTACTTGGGAAGCTGAGGCCAGAGGATCACTTGAGCCTAGGAGTGGGAGGTTGCAGTGAGCCACGATGGCACCACTGCACTCCAGCCTGGGCAACAGAGCGAGGTTGTCTCTAAAAATAAAATGAGCCAGGTGGGGTGGCTCCTGCTTGTAATCCCAGCACTTTGGGAGGCCGAGGCTGGAGGATTGCTTGAGCCCAGGAGTTCGAGACCAGCCTGGGCCACAGAGTGAGACCTCATCTCCACAAAAAAGTCCAAAAATTAGCTGGGTATGGCGGTGCACGCCTGTAGTCACAGCTACTCGGGAGGCTGAGATGGAAGGATCGTCTGAGTTCAAGAGGTAGTGGCTGCAGTGAGCTGGGATGGTGCCCCCACACTACAACCTGGGCAATGCAGTGAGACTCCAACTCAAAAAAAAAAAAAAGACCTAGGCCCTGTCCCTGCCCACCGCCCACTCCCCTTCTGTGACAAAGGCATCCAGCTTCCCTCTGGGGACCCCTCCCCTCTCTCGGTGCATTTACCCACGTGGGGCTGGACCCAGCAGCCCGAGTCTGGCCAATCCGAGCATTCCACTGGCCACAGTGATTGGCTCGTGGAAGGTCACGTGGTCTGATCTGAGCGAAACCAATGAGAGGCAGGCTTGGCGCTTCCAAAGGAACTCCCAGGACCCAGTTGTCCTCCTTCCTTTGAGGTGGCTGAGCCTGGGAGGCTGTGAGTCAGGGGAGGGGACGTGAGCCTGCGAGGGGGCAGGCGAGCCTGGAGCCCCCGGAGACCGTCTTGCCACATCAGGGCAGAGCTTGCCTGAGCATGAAGCCACGGAGGACATTAGAAAAAAAAGTTGAGGCGTGTAGGGAGGAGTTTCCTGATTGAAATCGAGCCCCTAGATCCAGCCATACCTGAAGCTAGCACATTATGTAGTCCAAAAAGATGCTTTGTTTTTGGTAAGCCCATTTAAGAGTAGGGTTCCTGTCCCTGGCAGTGCAGAATTCTGTCTAAGACAGGATAGAAAGATCCTTTTCACCCCAAAGGTTGGATGAGACTGGGTACGAACCGGGTGATGGGACTTGTGAAAGGTCCATGGGACTGAGAGGGAGGGGGAGGAGGGAGAGGCCCGGGGGCCTGTACCTGTGGCTCTGGCCCCGCCAGCCCCTCGTCACCAGGAGGTAGGCCAAGGTGCCGATGAGGAGGGCCCCGGCAGCGAGGGAGCCGATGGTGACCGCGGCCAGGATCCCCGCGTTCATGGGCAGGTGTGCGGCAGGTGGGTCCCTCGTCTTCTCTGAGTCTGGGGGTGGGAGGGAGACAGAGAGAGACGGTGACGGGCAGAGACAGAGAAAGGGAGAGAGAGAGAGACAGGAGACAGAGACAGAGACAGGGAGAGAGAGAGAGAGAGACGGACAGAGACAGAGGGAGAGAGAGACAGAAACAGGCAGAGACAGAGACAGAGGGAGAGATAGCGAGACAGACAGAGGCAGAGACAGGGAGAGAGAGAGAGAGACGGACAGAGACAGAGGGAGAGAGAGACAGACAGTGATAGAGACAGGAAAAGAGGGAGAGAGACAGAGGTAGAGACAGAGGGAGAGAGCGACAGAGACAGACAGAGACAGAGACAGAGGGAGAGACAGCAAGACAGACAGGCAGAGACAGAGGGAGAGAGAGACAGACAATGATAGAGACAGGAAAAGAGGGAGAGAGACAGAGGTAGAGACAGAGGGAGAGAGCGACAGAGACAAGCCGAGACGGAGACAGAGGGAGACAGAGGGAGAGACAGCAAGATAGACAGGCAGAGACAGGGAGAGAGAGAGACGGACAGAGACAGAGGGAGAGAGAGACAGAGACAGGCAGAGACAGAGATAGAGAGAGACAGAGACAGAGGGAGACAGGGAGAGAGAGACAGAGAGACAAAGATAGAAGCAGAGATAGAAGGAGAGACAGATACAGGCAGAGACAGAGAGAGAGATAGAGACAGCGGGAGACAGCGGGAGAGACAGGGAGAGAGAGCGAGAGAACGGTGTGGTGTCCCCC